GGATTATTGGGCCGTGCATTATCGGGTCGTACATTATAGGGACCCATACAATAACAATTTAATTATAATTTTTCCATAAAAGTTGCAATACATTAGAAACCTTATCGAGTTACAAGTGCCTAGTTAATACCTTGGATTATTCAAGTGGGCAGTTGATCACGAATTTGTTAGTTTGTCTTTGCAAATAACCCAATTAAAATCAAGTAATATGGCGTATGTAACTGGAGGTAAGTTTCAACTAATGTCGTTAGCAGTTGTATATTCATATTTATATATTTGTACATTACTATTAACGATTCAGGAGTCATTAATATTAAACCTATGGACCAAATATGCACTATTGCTTTTCATGCAAACTTTGTTGTGCTACATGTTTGTTGTTTCTGTAAATCTTTCATAAATTTGAAATGTATCACTGTAATTTAATTTTAACGTTAAGCATTACTATGAATTTTCAGATGGGACCATTGTTGAGAAAACACCATTCAGTGTATTCGGTTGGTTTTGGAGTTTCATAAACTTCCTCTATCTACTGTAAGTAATATTTTCGTTTTAAACTATATAATTTACCTATGACATAATTTTTACCTAATACTTTATTGGAAATTTCGAATTAAATTCTTAACATGATCATTACTTTATTGTATTGTACACAAAAATTGCAAATATCGCATTGATATAGAACGAATCAGTTTTCCTAAGATGACATCTTGTTCAGTTTCCAGACACTGATCAATCCAAACTTTAACAAGCATGGAAACAAGTATGTGAGAGACTATCGGCCACCGGGCAGCGGGTGAGTGTCTGTCTGTGTAACTATATACATGCACTGCATCAACTGCAGTAAGTTGCAATAACTAAAGTTGAAGTAGAAACATATAGCATGTCTTATATGGTAGATAAAATAGATCAAACATTTGTGGATTATTAAAAATTATTTATGAAACATCATATATTTAATGTATGCCTTGCATATTTAAAAAAATCTGTTAGTTACATGATAACTAGATGTGTGTCATGTTATCAGAAATTAAATGCTAAATGAGGTCATTTTGTATGTAATTTGTGAAGTTCACATAAGTACAAAGTAAAGGAAGTCAGTTGTTATGTTTATTAATTTCCATATGATTACTGTATGTATATGTTTTTAAAATTAGCTTTTATGAGTTTATAATTTGTATGCTTTTCCAAGTTTTGTTTGACTTTTATTTTTATAAAATCATTTTTATGACTCATTAATTTGTGTAATTCTAGACCGCCAAAGCCTCCTTCAAGAAAGTTCGGCGGCTTCGGTCCCTCCGGGTCGGGGCCGGCGCCCCCGCCTATGGGCGGCTGCGGATGTGGCTAGTGTTGCACTCCACTGAAAAATACCTTCAAAATTTATACTTACAACATTGCAATAATTACCATGTAGCCTTATAAAATAACAAACTAAATTAAACCATATAAACTATAGGAGATATTTTCTCATTATATTTGTAATATATTATATTAACGATTTTTTATCTTTTTATGTCAACCTCAATGTTAATAAACAACAAATAGAATAAAATGTAGATAAGTCAAGTCTTATTGATTTTACTTAGAGCTTGAATTTACTTGTTTTAGAGACCATAGGCCCCTACAATTGGCCTACTAAGAACACTTCTTACATTACAAGACACCCCGTCTTCTCATTATCACATGAAGTAAATTATTGTTTTTGTATACTTACAATGTTATTGGCAAATTATTGAAATGTTTTATTTATATGTAGATAAATTAATTGAATGTAACTGACATCATTTTTATGTGTCAGATGCAACACACATTTTGATCTGAATTAACTAGTATTCTGAGATGATTTGAATTAGAAAACTACTTATTGATAAAATTAGCAATAAATTTAATTAAAACAATCAGACAAATTTCTGACAGCAATATACTTCTGTTTCTTCAAGTAGCTAAAGAATATATATTTCATGCATATGGCATGAATAACCTTCCATTCAAAATGCCATCAACAATGCGGACTATGGTACAGGCAGACGAAAAAACATTACTTTCAAAATCTTATTTTGATGTTACACAGACAATCTAATGCTGTTTATCTGTATAGAGTTTATAGATCGATCTGTACGGGTTGTGTCTGAATTATTAATAAACTTCCTAAATATACATTGGACTAATTATGTACTTTTGTGTTAAATAAATCTGTCAGTGTCACACAAATAATTATTTGATTTACTTCATTACTCTATTCCGTATTGAGTATGTAAAACCAAACCTACAATATTAAAATCAACTCATTTTTAATTTATGCAAAAAAGTTAATTCTATATTTTCCGCAATATGGCGAGGGTTATTATGTTTCTGGTCAGACTATACCTACTTTATGTTGTTTAAAATGCGAACATATACTTTAGATTATGACTACTACAGTGTTTGTCAAATATCTCGGCGGCAACAAGTCGCTGAAAAGGGATGGCGAGTGGTGAGCAATGAGCGCTGCGCGTAAATCAAACTCGGTCAAGATTTTTAACAAATAATATACTTGTTTGCGTACTATACTAAACTATAGTTTACAAGCGTTTTGCGCCTTATATGTCTGAACTTTGCGAAAGCGAGTTTTATTTGTAATTTGATGATGCGCACAATGTTTTATTATTCTTCGTATGATATGTATTTTTTCGTGCTTATTAAAATTTTCAACTATATGGTTACTATTATTGTAACAACTTGTTAGTGCAACTTTAGCGAATGTTCTTATATTTTTCCTTGCGATCGATCGCGATTCCATCAGCACAGAATGTAAAAAAGTAGCCTACAATATTCCTGCATATGTCGACTACCTTCCTTTCAGTGAAAGTTCCGACCGAATTGATCCAACCGGTTGGAAAATCACCCGGAACAAACTCGATCTTGCGAACCAAGATGTTTTATAAATTCGTATTTCGATATCAGCAAAGCAGATTTTTTTTATGTTGCATACAATGTAATTTTCTTATATGTACAGCAGATAACCCTCGACAACAGCAAGGAAACTTGCAACTTTTCAGAAACATTCTTCGTGTATGTATTGTCTTGATGTACATATTTTTATCTTGAATTTTTTTATATAACATAAGGTGGCAAACGAGCAAGCGGCCACCTGAATCCGTCAAAATGGCGAAGTGACCGCTACCTATAGACATCCACAATTGCAGATGCGTTGCCTACCCTTATGCGACGGAGGAGGAGACGTACATAAAGAGGTATTTCCCCTTCCTATGCATCTCCTTATAAGAAAAGGGTGGTAAAGAGCTACAAACGCTAACAAATATCCATTCATCCATCTAAATTTGTTTTCGATTCGCAATTGCTATTTATGTTATACGAGCTGTTCCCGTGCGGCTTCAACCACGTGGAATTATAAAAACTTTATTTTATTGTGTACAATTGTGAATTGTATCAAAATTCAAATGCACAGAACAAATGACAACGAAGGCCTCTGATATGGTATAACAATTACCGTGTCCATGGCAATCTTGCTTTTTAGATGTCAGCTTGTAGTTTATGGTCCTTTTTCCACTTGAAGGTATTTTTCCAATTTACATACCCCCTAAGTTTAATAGCGTGAAAATATATAGCCTAAAGCAAGTGGGTGGCTTTTTATTAAAGAATAAATTATTAAAAAAATTGCTGTGTTTGCTGACATCTTACGATACGAAGTAGAATATACTACTTCTATACTATTATAATAACGCTCTATTATATTATTATAGAAGTATAGATATATATCTACGAGTATATATAGACATAGATATAAAGTCTAGTGTTCCTCCCCGGCTTAGGCCGAGTGTGAAAGCATTGTATACGTCCGTTCTGTTTGGTCCTAATTTTTAAAATTATGTACATGATCGTGTAAACTGTATCCGTTTCATGACTTAACAGAGCATGGAGAACAGAGGTTATGAGAACAAAGAAGATTTATAGATAACTGATACAAATGAATAAATGAGGAGGAGGCTTATAAGATATATAAATAAAAAAATAATAAAATCTCATTAATTATATATTTTTTTAGTCAGTCATTTTCATTTAGTATTGTTAAAGTACTAAATGTAATATAGATATAAAAATTTCAATTTACTTTAGATACTATCAGTGATAACCTCAAAATGAAATTATGACGATTCTGATCAATTTTCCTTGTTTACTTGTTTACTTGATACCTCTTAGTTACTACAATATTTTATAACTGTTATTTAGATTTAATTATAAGAAACAAATAGATTTTATTCTTTTATTATATTTATACTAATCAAAGGCGGATCTAAATAATGTGCAAAAATGCTTAGGTTTGGTGTTTAGTAACTCACAGTGTGGCGAACTACATTTTATTAATTGATTTTTGTAATTTCAAGGAATATTTACAAGGGTGTATATAAATGAAACAGGTTTACTACACACACATATATTTAGATAATACATCTACCATACATTATTGATTATTTGAATGTAACATACGAGTATACGAGAGTGATGAAGACGATCACTCACATTGACCACACTTTGGCCAAAAGAAAATTGGAAGGAGATGCAAACAGATTTTTGATCTCCGAAAAATTAGGAAGAACTTGCTTCTATTTATCCAACTCTGTTAAAATATTTACTGGATACATTTTAAAGTTTGTGATAATCGCATATAATAATATAACTTGATTAAGAAAAATAACACAAGCTAAGCTATACAACACAGAAAGCAATTCAGCAGTTTAGTTAATACAATGATTTCGCTCTAATAGATACAATACGGCACGAGGTGCCTATTTAAAAGCCTTATATTTTAAAAGAAGATATATCACATCATCAATGGAATCGTATCGTATATAAATACATTAAGTTACCATGGCCGGGGCCCTCAGTTGCCCCTAAATACAATTCGCCGACGGATCTAACCCTACAGAGAGATAGTAAACCTTATATTTTATGATAATCATAACTGTTTGCAGTATGTACTTATGTCCAAGATTGATTTTCGAAAATACAGAAATATGTAGGTATTTAATTTTTTGTACTGAAAAGCGTTAACTATTTAAACCATGTTTAAGTAAATTTGCAAACTTTAATCCTATATTTTAAACGTTCCCTCTACTGGACGAATTCTGAATTAACAAATCAAGCCTACAGGAAATTGCAGCTTCTTATTATTACTTTATGAGGCTAACAGATGCCGCTGGAGGACGTGGTCTGCGCCTATCGGTAGGACTGACATATATATATATTTGTATTTTTATTACTCGTAGTGTTTGTGAGATATATAAATATAGTGCCCTAATTTTTAAACATTTTCAAGACGCACAGAAATTGAGAATTACGATAATAGGCGTCTTGCTCCAATACAAATATGACGTCCCTGATGGTGACGCGTACTACACCGTCGTTACAGTCCCCGTCAGCCTGAATTAAAACAACGAAAAAATATTACTAATAATTTCATTGCTGGTGTAATCAATTTGCTAAGTAATAAAGTTTGTATGTATATCGTATTGTACATTTTCTTATAACGTCAAAAAATACATACATACTTATTTGCCAAATTGTCACTTTCTTTAGTCTTGGACTCGAACGATCGCTTGCCTTTAGGCGTCCAGTAAAAACAAATAAAAACGATTACCTGTGCACTGGTACTCGGACCTGCTTCATTGCTGCCACCAGCGTCGGACTCGTCGGAGCGGCTGGCGCTTGGCGCTTGCGCCTGTCTGTTCTCTCGCCTGTTGCGCTCTCCGATAGCCTGCGCCGCGGTTTCATCTTTTTCAACCTGACGGTTTTCCAACTCGGATTCAGACATAACATCTTCCTATTTAATAACACATGGTAGTTATTGAATAATGTAATTGTAACACAAGGTAAAGAAGATAAGAATATAGAGCATTATAATAATAAACTTTATTTCGAGTTACATTTCTTTTAATCATAGAAGTAATCGTCACCTCTGTATCCTGTGAGCCGGCGCAGGTCCCGGCCTCGGCCTCGGCCTCGGCCTTAGCGCGCTTCTGCTGGATCTCCTCTACGTCTCTCAGAAAGCTTAATTGAACTTTGACATTGCTAGTTATTACACAACCATTCCGCATCTGTTATTATATTGTATAAAAGTCATAATCGTTAACTTGGTTTAATTCTAAAGACTTACTAATTAGAAACAGCATTAAAAGAAGATAGCAGTTGTAAAGAATAGCACAACATGTAAGACATAGATACAGGAAAGGAGGAGTACAATCGTTCTGTTTTGATATTGTTCAAGCAACAAAAGCACACCAACGAGTACACGTAGCTATTATGTAAATTGTAACGTTGACATAATTATTACGTTTTACAATGTACACATACGTAAATCACATAGGTAAGTATGTAGACGAGCAAGCAAGTAGAGAACGCAACACATCGTGCCTCATTGTGGCGCATGCGAACCGACTTCAACACAGGACTTTACATCATTGTTTTATCAACTTGATAATATCAAGAAGAAAGCTGACGTAGGAAAACCAGAATAAGGTCGTAAATAAAATTAATGCTAGCAATGAGGCACATGCTCAACACAGATACATGCTCCAAAGGGTATTTCATAATTATCACCATGCGAGACTGAGCATGCCTATTCACTGCCACTTCGATAGCTTTTTCCACGATATCCCTGATTTTTGATTCAGCGCCGTATTTCAAATAGAGAGCCACTTCAGGCAGATAGTGTGAAAATCCAAGCCTTTCAGAAGACAATTTTAATTTAGCCTCTACTGCTCGTAAATTTATGAGACCGCTATCGTCAGTTGAACTGAAATGTTCACAAAATTATAAACTTTCAAATCACTAACTAATTTAAAAAAAGGAATAAAAAATATGTTACTTTAAAATGCGTTCTGTCTGGTTTGTGGATGGGGTAAATTGTTGAGATTCCTCAGCTACATCGACTCCCGCCATAGTCACAACATCGTTGATGTCGTCATCATCCCCAGAGATGTTACCGAGAACATGCGCCGCCGCCGAGGGCGAGGAGGGCTGTTTATCGTCGGGCGATTGATCTAGCGGGATATCAGCAGAGAACGAGCAGGACGGCATATCCATTCGCTTGATGTTGATTTTTTTCCCACCCTTACTTTTAAAAACCTTACCGGGATACACTCTTATTGGTCCAGGTTTTTTCTGGAGACGTTCTGATTCAATTTGTTGTTTTTTCTGGGAATAGGTTTTTTGGTTTAAAATACTTATCGGATAAAATAATAAATAGGTAAGCATCTATCTAAAGACAGTGTTTCATTCTTATCGTTACGTATTTATTTACTTGTAGGTACATACAGTCGCGGAAACTAGTAGTGTTCCACCTAAAAAACTACAATTATTTGGAAATTAAACGGAGCTTTTAAGTGTGTCTTTACGAAAAAAAGTCGATGAATGATGATACGTGGCTAATTTCTTTTTATTGTTATCCTTTCGTTTGTGCCACGTATTGCTAACTAATTTGTTATTTGTCAGAAGAGGCAGAGTTTTTTTCGTTGCAGTGAACAAGGTAATTTTTCCTAAAGCGGAACACCGCGGATTTCCGCGACGGTACATTAATGCGATTGCTCTAACCGGGGTCATGTTAGTGAAGTCCGCGACTTGTACGGATGAGCAGGCTACAGTTGACACATGTGCCTGAGATGCGGGAGCTTCGATGCCTTCTATTACCAATACTCTGCTAACTAAGGCCTGCCTGAGCATTGGTAAGGTGTTCTGAAATTTGTTTTTCAAAATGAAATTATCCGAGTCTCGTTTATCTTCAAAAATTTAAAATTCTTAAATCCGGATAAAAAAGGAAAGTTAGTATAGTCATAAAGTCATTTTATAATTGATGTCGTTTGTTGCTAGCCTGTCGCGGCGTCCTTCTGTTATAATTATGACATTACTACAACTCCTTATTCAAAAATGTTCTTATTTGTTCAGTATTGACCTGCAAGAAAGGTATCAGCGAGGACTGAGGACTCGCGTTCAGCATACGTTCAAGATTGGTGCAGTACTCCTCAGGCTCCACCTCGGCGTTTATCAGTCCCTGGGTCAGTTTCCTCACTTTAGACCTGACCCCCTTGGGCTCATTTTTTGATACATCTAATAGGTTAGCAAGAAATGCTCGGCACTTTTCTGTAGAGTTTTCCTGTGCTTTCTGTTAACATAAAGTTATTAATTGATGTTTACTTACAATATATTAGTAATTTGTATACGTAAATAATATCCTCATACATATGTAGTTATTTTTGTACGAGAGCAGGGAACGGCTGATATTGGTACAATGAGCGCTGTCGAATTATGCGCCGTGACACCAAGCGGTTGGTTTCGCTAACCTTTAAACAATAAATTATATTTAAGATATGTAAGTTTAAGTGTGCGATTATGAGATGATGATTTTCTTTCTAGTCATAAAAGCAGGTTGTTGAAGTTGTGGCGCAGCAAGGTTAGGTATCGCACTGGTGCCGGCGGCGCTGGTTGCGTCTGGCAGCGCTTTGGCGTCCGTCGACTCCGCGCCCTAACCGCCTACCCTCGACATCATATATACTTAAGTATAGTTATAAATTAATATCAAGTTATTTCGACTACTGTTAAATACCATAGGTACTTTCTACTTAAGATCGTTAAAAAATAAGTGAAGTTTAAGAACCGTAATTTATCGCGTCGGTCCACGATTTGTAGGTTTTTCTTTCATTTCATGTAAACATCTTTTCCACTGAAATTGGCCATCGCCATTTCGACTCCGTTAAATGTAATTTTTCAGAAAACCTCAATCAAATTGACCTCCGATTCCGCTTCTTTTAACCTCTGCTTCTGCAGAGGTGAAGCTCTTCGCCACCGCATCCGCATCGGCTTCCGTTAAAATTGCCTCCGTTACAACATGGCCTATGTTACATACAACCCTAGTTCCGACCTTCGGCATACATAACCTTCCAATCTTCAAGCAAATATATTGTAGATAGAGAGCTCTGACTTAAATGAGCATGTTTATGTTACTGGTAGTAAATCATATCTTTATTAGTTTAAATTATTGATAGTTGTTCGAGTTCTGATCACCGACACCAACTGCTACGGTCAGGTCAGCAACGAAATGGAGAAAATCAAATATATAAGCAAAAACTATTACATTATTACGGCTCCTGGCCTGTCCATCTATGAAGCTAATAAGTATAACGTATAAAGTATAACGCTATCCTTCAATGTTACTTTATTGTTGTTTTTAATGATATTGATATTATTATAAGAATTGTGACAATCATAAGTATACTAAAACACATAATTGAATATTTACAATTTTACAGTGTAAAAATTACAAATTAGTTTTTTACAAATACTTTTTACTGACAATATAGATGTTTTTCTCTTCAATTCATTGCTTGCTACATAGGTATCTATAATCTGTAATTCAATGTTTGCCGATGCTGTGGCATGCCGTCACTGTCAGTTGGTGATTGGTGACAGTCTGACAGTGTTCGGTTGTCATTTTGTAGGTCATTATTTTGTGTTATATTTATTTTTACTGTAGATTTTGTACATTCTGTGTCTCAGTCCCTTTACCCGTCATAATAATAATAAACTTTTGATTGTAAAAGAAAACTGTGGGCGGATTGCTGTTGAAAATTTGTTTTATTTCAGTAAAGAATGTATTAATTCAGTTCTTTATCTACGTTGCGAGTCGTTCTTATAAATGTATCTAATTTCTCTTTCCTGCCAAATTTGTTTTGAAATGTGGCCTTGACTAGGTTTGTGAGTATCACTATTTTTGTTTTTACCTTTTATTTAAAAATCTCCATTGGTATATAAAGCTATAAAACTGGTTCCAAAACTAAAAGGTTTCTTTATTACTATTTTCAAGATATGCTTACTAATAGCTTACACGGTTATAAAACCTTCAGCGTTACAGTTTTGGGGTTATTTTTATTACAAATTTTGTAGTTATATTGTGTAACTGTTACAACCTGATTTCTGATTTAATCTACAATAAAATCTTTAGCTTGTAATATGAATTACTTTAATGGTAAAACGAGGTTATTTAATATATTGTAATTTATTCAATTTAACAGGTGTAAGCAGTTTAACTGAGAATAATCTATATGATCTATACTTCTTAGACTAAACACTTTAAATTTAACTTTTGACTCTGAAACATTGATCTTAGTACAACTTTTTCTTCTTTCAATTTCCGCAAATAAAATGTTACACATTAAAACAAAATGTGAGTAGCTATGTTTGTGTGCTTGTGTGTATGGTGTTGTGTGGTGCTTTGTAAAGCATAAGCATACATTGTAATGTATCCTTAACAGCTATGCTAGTTTTAAAATGTGAAACATGTTTTTTTGTGTATGTATATGTTCAATATAAATAAGAAGCAAAAATATAAAAAAGCGTCTGTCTCGTCTGATCTGTTCCTATATATACAGTACATATTTTGATAAAATTGTGATACAACCATCTAACAATGGGTTGTACTTAAAAAATGTTTTGTAACTATATGTGTAGTAGTAGTATAAATTGTAGTGGGCTTAACAAATCACAATATTAGATTTACATTGAAAACAAAGTCGATTTCAAAAATATATATTTAAAAGCGGAGAACAGCTATTTATGTGATACAATTATATTTTTGATGCGGTGATATGAAAATGAGTGCAGAATTTAACTATTTATCCTCCAACAGTGCATTGTTGGGGATATGGTCCGCTATAACATAATATTTGTGAACTTGGAAGCTGGACCAGCACTATGTCCTAGTTTGCAAACTAAAACTGAGTACATTTTGTCTTCAGGTATAAAACTTTATAGTTCAACACCACATATTGTCTTATGAATACATTTATTTATAGAAAGTGTAGAATAAGCTGTGCATGCTGTTCGGTGAACACTGGCTTGTTCGAGGTGGCCTGGCTTAGCATTTTGCATCGGAAAGCAAAAGTTTACTTAAAGCTGCTAGGGTTTTTTAATTATATTTTCTAAAGTTTTGAGTAAATGCATTAAAACTTACGTATCCGCTGCAGGTGTAACACGCACGACGTATTCTTAAAGGATTCGTACTAAATTATTTAAATAATTAAAAAAACGCGCATGGGCTTGCGGTGAAGTCGAAACAAAGATAGAATAAATGCGCGGGACAGTGTAGCTATGAGCACAGATATGTGTACCTTACACCTGCATCAGCAGGTTTTGCTTAACCGACTTGACACACGATACTATACGTATGGACAATAGGTATTATTTGTGTTCTCTATTATCGGGGACGCAAAAGCTTAATGTGTGAAGCATCGGCTAGAGAACTCTGGCTCCCGGAGCGCGACACAGTCTGTTGCCGTGCTTTACTATGGCCTAGTCGAACTCAACATCACCAAAATAGAATAAGGACTACGCTTATTAATTTTTATTGTTTTCGATCTTGGTTAAACAAAATGAACACGTGCTTAATATTGAAATATAAAAATTTAATTTACGTACATTAGAAATAGTTAAGAAAATATAACTATATTACTATAGACTTAAAGAAAAATCATTGCGTTACAATGTCCGACTAGCTGAGTACGAAGTCAAACGATGCCAATAATATCTAAAAGTCACTTTAAACGGTTATTCAGTTAACATATGTCTATAATCTGTAAAGATCTTTATATAAATACTAATCATTCCGTAAATCATTCAATTTCTGACATGTTTTTAAGATCGCAATAAATTCAATTTGCCAGTGAGAATCGGCTTTGCGTCGTCGGTTGGGCTGAGTTGTGTTGTGTGCGAGGTGTCCGCCACAAGCTAGGAGTGGCTAGCATAGTGCCTGCTCGCTGTCGGTCGTAGCTGCATAATGTATTGAATGAATCGCAATTTGCAAGTGCAAGTGCCGATGCCGATGCCTTAGTGACGGATAGAAGTCAGGGCCCGCCGGTCGCGTGCCTCCGACCCTATCCCCACACCGGTACACCGACCTTATATATCTTCAAGTCTATTATATCAGTTGGAAAATATTTTAAAAAATTACAAGTTAAAAAGTATTAGTTTTAGTTCACAGCTTTTTACTTTATTTGTTATTTTATCTTCATCCGTCCAGAAATTGATTATATACTGACAACATTAATGGGAATACAGTTTGATTAGGACAAAGCTTTGTGCATACGTTAATGTACATTGAACCAGTAGTTGTACGGCTTCTGCGTTCTTATCACATACATTGTTTTTGTTACAGGCGTTAACTGAACATGGAGCGTTTTCCGTTGAAATCTTCAGCGAGCAAAATGCCTACCACCTACCAGTCCGTCTACAAAAAGGTAAAAAGTCATATACTTTAGCACGCGCTTTTTTCTGCAGGAAACGTTAAAAAAGAAGATAGTGTGTATTACTAGTTTTTTTTATATATTATTCACTTATCAATAAGCAAGAAAGTGAAAGATAAATTTATCACATGGCTCTTTACAAGCAGGTCGGATCCGTATAAGTTAATGTAGAGAAGTGCACGAAGCAATTTCATCGAAATAAGTTTATTTTAAGTATGAATCATTGTCGAATTTCTATCAAATAGCAACCACTGCCACTGGTCCGAATAAATGAGTACTGCAATAAGGAACATTCAATGTTTTACGTAGATTAGTCTTGTAGACTATACTAACATTTTATTGTTGTGTTTTTATTTTAATGTTGTGCTATCTAGAATGCCTCTCCCGGGAGCAAAGATCATCGATTTTCTAAATCTAGCAGATTTTTGCGTGTTAGTCGTGGTCGTCGGGTAGAATGTTGTACAACATCGAAACAAGTGTTTATTTCCTAGCTTTACATTTATGAAATATTGCAGATGCTATAATATACATTAATATTTAAATACGTATAATATATATGATATTCTGTTTTATTTATTAAGTATATTATAATGTACATATTATGATGAAAATATGGAAGAGCAGCACAGAATGTGCCGACCCTCCGTAAGGGATAAGGGCAAGTGGATGATGATGATTACAATGTAGACAAAATTCAATAGAAAAGCTATATGCATAAGAACAAAATCACAAAGTTTATTTAACAATGTAAAAATTGAGAGATAAAAGTCAATAAAGAGATTTACCAGCAATTTGTAAATGTGACCGCGGCGGCGCCATACATGTTTATAACGAGGAAATCCTACTATAATCGCATAATTTTCGCTAGCGGAACAAACATATTATTTAGTACAATATAGAATATAAATAAAAATTGCTCACCTCAGAAAAATTATTATCTTCGGTGTCCATGGCGGGAAATTATTTTTCGTAAAGGGTTGAGTTCGCGATGTCGGCGACGACCACTCCGCGCCCTGCAGTCACTCCCTCTGATCGATGCACAGGCGCCGCTATTGATGCTTATGCTTTTTAAATATTTGGACATAACGGTCGTTACATGATTGGTGTATCCGAGATGAATTAACAAACGTATATGTAGAAGTACCGTCGTACTGCGCATGGCCAGCTTGCATCTATCTCACCGGATGATACGACCAAAACGTAACACCTGTTCCAGCCTGTTACTGCCTAGGGACTCGATACACTCCTAATTTATTCCACTTACATTTGCTTGACGATCGTCTAGGGATGCATGTCGGTTTGTCGATGTTTTGTCGACTGCCCTATTTAAAGACAATATATTGTTGGTTAGGGTATTGAGAGACAGTGTCAATGTTGTCGTGTTACCAAACAAAAACTGCCGGCTGTAAACTAATAACTACATAATCTGAAACTGAACAAGTTTTTATATATTAGAATATAAGAATAAAGCCATAAAGAATGGCCTTTACTTTTGGTTACATCGACGCTACTTTGGGAACAGTATTCATATTATACGAATTTATTTAAAACTGTTGAACATTAAATGCATCTATATAAGTAAATAATTTGAAAGAAAGTATGGTTACGATGTTTTTATCGAGAGTGTGCATTGCGTAGGGTCGGTGCATCATTATTTCATAATCTGATGTCTATGTGAGGAGGTCTATGTAAGGATGTCTATGTGAGGACCTAAAGCCCCTAGCCCAGATTTATTGATTTTCGCTCCCTCGCGATTCCTGTCTGATGTCTATCTATTTCATTCGAACGTCGCCCTCCGTTTCACCGGAGATTTCGCGTTGTAAAATATTGTCTGCCAATTTGCGTTCGAGGTCCGATTATATTTGCAATGCTTCACGTCTCGTCGGCTATTAGCGTAAGTTGTAGCGACAACTTATTGATTACGTTAATATAACTACACATGACAGCAAAAAAGTAATTAGCCATCACGCGCCACCATTAATAATCATATAAAAATAAGTACGCAATTAATTGTAATACTATTTTCGGATCATTGAAGCTATTCTGTCTTGGCTTTTAGATTTCCATCTCCATTATTATTGACATTTTCTCTCTACGCCTTGTCCCTGTCCAGTCTCCTTGTGAGAGGTCATGAAAATAATAAAAGCAGTCCTTTTATAGTCATTTATAATAAATTTATATTTAATTAATCTCACACTTGTAATACTATACAGATTCATTTCTCAGGGCGGCTTTTGACATCGTTTTTCTAGATACATGATATAATTAAACATTAGTTACATCAAGAATCAACTGATTGTTAAATGGTAGAAATAAATCCACAGCAGCCCGTCTAGTCCCCGTGCCGTCCCCGGGCCGTCCCCGTGAGCTGCTCGTGCATATGTGGTGCACTAGAATCATTTCTGACGATGCAAATACATGTGAATTGCATCTATTAAGGTCAACCGAGGAGCTCGTAGCGGCCGCAAGTGCGAATACTTACAGGCCTACATTGCTTCCTGCGCACCAGTGTCACATCCGCCGACTACTATTTGTATTAAACCCAATTGCCCGAACGGTATACACCTCAATACATATGCAAATTGAATTAAATCAAGCATTGAAAATTATCTTTGTCAATATTTGTAACTATGTAATTTATAGGCCGATGTAGTTTTGCTCTTGCGAGCATGTATCATGTTACTAATATTAACTGACCATGCTTAAAAATTTGTACTACCTTTCGCCCGCGACTTTGTCTGCATGGACGGAGACGCATGTAGTTTTTAATGCTAGTAAGGATTTACACGGATTGTTATGTAATATACATACATAACGTTGTTCAAAGCGCTGTGGAGTTTTTATGTAAATTTGAAAAAGAAATGATGAGGTGGTGTAGATGATAACACAGACCGACATGTTGCATTTATTGTAGCTAGTGCTAGCGTATGAGCGACTACAATTTAGGCTTTTAACGGCCAAGTGGACCTCTTGTGAATCGAGTGGCTTATCTAATTCAGTGCAGTTTTCCAATTGAGCGATCTGACTTAGATTGTTATACAGATGTGCGCGTAATCTACGCACGTCAATAGTCCAATTGACCACAAATGTCCACATGCTTGTAACAAGGATACATATCGTATATTTGAGAACTATTTCTACTGGTTTCAGTTGATACAGATTATAGCAACAGGGTTTCTATCCTTTTAATTTATTGTTATAGCTAATTCATCGTGTGTACAATTTACGTTTATTTTTCCAGTAAGTGAACAGAAATCGCTATAAGTTTGATAATGCCTTTGAAAAATAATATACAATTAGTAAATATTGGTTACAAATACAGGAAACAATTATTTACCGAAGTGTAATTAAATGAAGAGAGACTTGGCCATTGATATTTTCAAAGTCACGTAATGAATTGAACTTGTACTTGTACAATACACATGTCAGTAATGGGATTTGAAGTAGCGGCGGAGGCGGCGGCGGCGGCAGCGGCAGGAAGCACCACAAGACGCTGCGACTTATGTGTAACTCTAGTAATACACTTTAGTGTCTGTTTCCAAATTCATCTTCAATAAAGTTTAATGAACTGTATGATTTTATGAATTGATCCACATTAAAGGCAATCAAAAAGGAATCTAAATTAACGAAATCTGAAATGGTATCAGAATACAGTTAACAGTTTTCCGACATGATACTTGCCATTAACTGTTTCTTCGTTAAGTAACATAAACATTAATGGAACAGCCACTAATTTCATGCTTTTTAGGGGACGTTTCTAAGAGGAGTCTCTACGGATTCTATTTGCTCTTTAATCGTTTTTTTTTGTTTTTTTTTTATACCATTTCTTTTCTTTATTTCACTGTAAAAAGTTACAGGGCATGCTATTATGTATAAATGTTTAAAAGCCGCGTCGCCTACAAAGCACGTAAGTGGTTTGGTGGGAACGTATTATGTAACCATATTGTAATAATTTGGAAATAAAGAATAAAAAATCGACTTTCGCCTTGCAGTCTTTGTTTAAAAAGGATTCTTCAAAGTTAAATATTTTTTTTAGTTTGCGTTAGGTATGTTCATCAATTTTAACAAGATGAATAATATTTACATAAATTAAGAAGAATAAAGGCAGTTTTGTAATAGTTACCGTTAGTGAACGTGTACTCATCGACAGGGCAGAAAGAATTCGGCCGGTCGCGGCATTCTAACCGGGGGTGAGGAAGACCTGGTGGACATAACGGCTGGGCTGCAAGGTCTGCAGCAAGCCACAGCCGCGCCCACTAGCCATGGCACCTTCCAGCTGTACGATCACTCCACGAGACTCTCCGACGCCTCCAGTAACTGTACGTACACTGCATTCTATTATTATCAAATCTTTTCATTTCTTATAAAAGCAATAACATAAACTTGAAAAAGGTGGGTCCTCAAGTAAAACAACATACGTAACTATCCAACATTTTATCACAAATGGGGATCCCCACATTGAAAACTTTAGGGGATGAAATTCGTAAAAATTTCAATCCAGGTCCAATGGTCTGGCTTTGTGCTGATTTAATAAATACAATAGATCGTTCAATTAAGATGTGCAAAAGTAGAATTCGCATTTCAAGTAGAGGGTCGCTACAAACTTGTTGTATATAACTGTTACAGCTGTTGCTGCTCTATATTCACAGATAAATTATCTTTCTAACTGTGAAAAAAAGTTTTAAAATCGGCCCAGAATTTTTTGAGTTATAACAGTACATACAAAAATGTAAATCTTTACTTTTTATAATATTAGTATATATATGGTTCTGTTATCCTGATGATAAATACAGAGTGATTCTTATTCAATTTACATTTGGATATAGTGCAATTAATTTTTTGCTGTTTCTTTTCAAGCATACGTCGCTCAGTTCTTCAATTCTTCTACCGGTAAGGGCGCACTGTTTTATGTTGTGTGTGTGAGAGCCATGCATGCATGCTTGCGGCTCACTTGACTTGTGCGAACCTCTCTCGTCTCGTGCGAACTTCTCACTTGTTTCCTTCAAATTTATACTATGTAAATAACAATAACACATTATTTTTACCAACATAAAATCGACTTCAAAAATCAACTTACACTAAATTCTTAATTGCCCAAATAACCAAATAGCACTTGTCTTAAATGTTTCAATACATTTCGCCATACCCTAGTGGGTGAATATTTGGAATACAAGGTTAATTTCTTTTAACAACAAGCGTAATAATTAAATATAACACTATTTATTGGCCAAGAAAAACACAAAAACAAAACACAAAAAATAACAACAAAATAAAATTTACAGAACTTATAAAAGTAAAAAATAAAAAGCAGTTTTCGGCCAAAAGGAGAAGGCTCAGCTGATGCGGCCTCCAGCTTGACCCTGAAGGCCCCGCTGGTTTACAGCTTCCATTTAACTTCTATTTGCATGGTTCAATTTATTCAAATAAACACAATCATATACCGTTCAAATGTTTTCAATGAAATACGACGAGACCCATATCTATCATAATATGCCTTTATCGTCTCTATGTAGATTAGATATATCTATTACGGTATATGTTATAAAAATGTCAGTATGATATTACCATCGTGTGAGTAGTTTCGAATAATGGATTCCGCAATAATGGAGCCCGAGGAAACTGAGCCCCTAGTCGAAGGTAAAAGATTAGACGTACTTTTTGCATTATAGATTTTCTGCTTACCTTTCTTATGTATCTGATTGTATTCGCTAATATTCCCGGATTAGCCATGTCCATACCCACATATGTAGCCAATTCTGTAGAATGAGATCTCATACGATTACTATTCTTCCCCGAAGTCCCGTAGGAGTAAAGTCAGGTCTGGTTTTAGCGATACCGGTAGTTTGTCGATATCTCAAATATCATCTACGGCACCGCTAACTCCAATACAAACCCATAAGGTAAAAGGCGCCCTTTATGTCCACTACTTTTTATTTAGTCAGAAAATTAAAGACTCGAAAAAATCTTATCATTTTTAATAGTTTGTCTACATTTAATTTAATTTTTAATATGCATTTATGTAATAAGTTACGGAAACTGTCGCAGTAATTGAAACAAAGAAAATATATTTTTGTGGTAACTTTTTGTAGTAACTTGAGATAGCGCATGGCAACACTGCACTTCTATTATTGTGACAGTGACAGTTAACGCCCGATACGGCTTGTACTCTTTTGCTTATCTACGTCGCTATGTATATCTGATTATAAACTTTCTTCACATTTAGCATTTATGCTTTAAAGAAATGAAAATTTTCACATAATAAAGTATAGAAGTGGTACTCAAAAATATAACGTTTTAAGCGTTGCCGTACCATATTACAGTTGTAGCGGATATCAAGATAGACTGCCATATTTATTGTTGTATCTTGTTACAGGGGACGCAGTTATATTCTCCGGAATGCAAGGTACGTTGTTAATTATTTCTTCAAAGCAAACGTACAAACTTGAAGTAATGTAAGAGCGAAGTCGTATCATTGTGTCGTGACGCGACAGCATATCGATCTCCATTTGTCATTTACAATTCTGTTTCAAACTGTTATTTTTTACGCGAATTGTGCCGTTCAAAGTGATTCAATGAAGCGGATTTTATTATGTGCTTATTATTTAGTGCTTTACCTATGTTGAAAGAGAATCCATTGTTGCGCTGACACGTGATGTTAAGGCTTTACTGTTATTATACTCGCTCACAGACCTGGCCTTGCAATAATTACAACATTAATATTGCAAACAAAAAATATTTATATAACATGAAAATCACATTGTGGTCCAACAAAATGAGTAAATGTTCATTGTCGTAGTTGCAGACAGTAGTCAACGGTAGCTAAAGTATTCTTAAATATGAAATGTTTGTATGTTGCACTTTGGATATTAGCATGGGTTTGTTACAGTTACAACAGTTACAACACACTCTGAACAAGTCTTTTTAAGATGATACAATAAACAATGCAACAATATTTTGCAAAAATATCTGTGTCTTTGTAATTGCTTATCACGTCAACTCAGTTATCTATGTTGAATTTAAATGAGTTGTTTAAAAGATAATGATTAATTGTGTTGTTTGCAGGAGATACTGAGGATATCCCTGGAATTGGTCAGTATGATGACTTCCACACCATCGATTGGCAGCGAGACATCGCCAGAGATCGGATGAGACATAGATATATCGTTAAAAAAAGACAGGACTCAATATGGGATCTTGTAAAGGTAGGATGCACAAACAGTATTCACAAAAGCAAGACACAGTGAAAAATGTCCAGTAAATATGTTAATAATTTTCAGGGAGCCCATGATGCATGGTCAGGCTGGGTATGCGTGCTCCTGGTAGGGGTGTGCACTGGGGTAGTAGCGGGAGTCATAGACATCGGAGCCTCTTGGATGACAGATCTGAAGTTTGGCATTTGCCCTCAGGCATTTTGGTTCAACCGAGAACAGTGCTGTTGGTCCAGCGACGAGATGACCTTCGATCAGGGCAATTGTTCATTGGTGAGCTACTTCAGCTACAGATTATTGTGTAGATAAACCCCGGTCTGCCGGTAGCGCTGGTGGTCACCACGGTGGCGGTGTGGTTACAGTGGCTGACG